AGCTCCAGCTCCAATTCTGTGGTTGTGCTTCTTTCTTAAGTGGATTAAAGTACCTGAGAATAGCCACATTCCAATAGCTAACATGATCCATTATAAACTGAACACTGACCATACCTGTGTCAGGCTAAATGAACCACCCAGCCATCCCTACCTTACTCCCATTCAGTCTTTTCTCTGTGAATGAGAGGGGACAAAGAAGCAAAATCGTTCTGGAGGCTTAAGACCCACAAAAGGGTGGGAATATCAGTGTCATTTCTGGTTCACATTATTTGATGATATCATTCATTTTTTCCTTATTTGTACTTTACCATCTGTAGCTTAGAGGTGTCCTGGAATTGCCAGGAGGCAAAGACACTTTGATCCTTTCTGATCCTTTCATCCAGAAAGGGGTCACTGGGTGTCTACTAGGAGCCAGCCACTCCCTCAGATATTGAGAATGTGTCAGTGAACACCGCAGGGAAAGTCCCTGCTTGTGGAGCTCACATGCTACTGAACAACGCTGGCATCAAACGTGACACATGAGTAAGGAAGATGGCTCCAGACCATGACAAGTGCCACGAAAACAAGTGAGCACAGCAGAAATCAACAGGACTGGGAACAGAAGGACAGGTCTTCAGGTGGGACGGGGCAGTCCTTGCTAATGAGGTAACATTTGATCTGAGAGTCACATGAGGGAAAAGAGCCAGCCACGCAAACATTCATTATAAGCAGCAAAAACTGCACGTTCAAAGGCCCTGAGACAGAAACAGGTGTGATTTATTTGAGGAATAGAAGGAAAAGGGCCCAAAAGTCAATTAAGGAGAGGTGGGGGATGAAGAGATAAAGTCAAAGGATGCACAAAGACAGTGTCAATAACGTCTTCCAACCTGGGAAGAAGGTGAAGCCCAGGGACAGTAAACAAGCATCCAAAGTCACAACAGCTAATTATTGTTACAGCTCATGTAGAACCTAATTCTTGTGCCTCCAAGTCCAGAGATTTTATACTATATTTATCTGCCTGCCTCAAGCCTTGTGAGTACTGTTTACTGATCTCACTGGGTTTGTTTTTAGTTTTTTGTTTTTTAGTCTTTTTGAGACAAGGTCTCGCTATGCAGTTCAGGCTGGCCTTGAGCTCACTTTGTAGCCCAAGCTGGTCTCGAATATGCAAGGATCCTCCTGCCTCATTCTCCCAAGTGCTGAGATTATAGGCGTGCACCACCACGCCCGGCTCTCACTGGTTTTTAAAAGCTCTTAATACAGTAATAGCCAGGCGTGGTGGCCCATGCTTGTAATTCCAGCACTTGGGAGGCTGAAGCAGGAGGATCACCATGAGCTCAAGGCCAGCCTGAGCTACACAGTGAGACCCTGTCTCAAAAAAGATAATGATGATGATAAAAGTTCTTAGCATACACAAGCAGTAAGCAATCTCAATTTTAAGCAGCGCCTCATGACTAAGTGATCCTAGTAACTGGAAATGCACATAAATTCTGCTCTGAAATCTAAGACTTTGTGCCCACCCACTTCCGTGTAGGTACCGTTCCAACAGCAGCCCTTTGTAACAGCTCAGGTCTGCGACTGTGGGGAAGGCCACAGCGCACCAGAGCCTAATCGTGTTATATTTAAGTCTTATTTTTGCACCACCATCACCCCTTGACAGTGCTTTGCTTAACTCACCCAAGAGCAATCAAAACCCATCTGCTCGCAGCCCACCGTCATTTGGTACTATTAAGCTGTCAGGTAATGGGACTGTAAGCAAAACACCGTAATTACAACTTCCTTGCAGGACTCAGGAGCACCTCCACCTGAGGGTCCAAGTTGGTTAACAGCCTATCCCCCTGTGATGGGAACGGCCCTCTGCTTTGCCATTCTAACACTGGTTCCCTCTTCCTCCTTGCCCTGTTAAACACACTCGGTGTGCACGCCTGAAACTCCACACGACACACCCAAAGTCTGTCCAGGGGCTGGTGGCTGGTCCACAAGAAGGACAGGGGCAGATGCTGCTGACCAGAGAGGTGGAATGAGTAGGGACCCTGCCTCACCTTCCCCCTCCTCCTGCACCTTCTTCTCTTCCTTCTCCTCCTCCCCTTCCGGCTCCTCTTCCTTTTCCTGCTGCCTCCTCCCTTCCTTCCTGCTAGCAAGCTTCTCTAGCCCCTGAGCTTTGGCAAGAGAGTCAGAGGTCCCAACAATTTAACACCAGAGGAGTGTTCAGAAGCCCAGATTCTACCCAAATCCCTCCACCTACTAGCTGTGCAGTCCTGGGCATGTTAGAGCACCTTTCTGTCCCTCATCTCTAAAATGAGGATGGTACCACTCTCCTAAGCTGTTTGCGAAGATTAAATAAACTAGTGTACATAAAGGCAGGAGACCAGTGCCTGGCACTTAATTCCTACAGAGATGTGAAAGATGCTACCTTTTCTCCCCATCTTCCTCTTCTCTCCATCCCCAGCTAGGAAAGACTACTGTCGCCTCCGCTTTGAAGAACAGCCATGCATGAAGTCAGAGCACGCACTGGTGTCATGATGGCAAATATAATATCAAACGAGACAATAACACCATCAGATAAGTATGGTGAAAATCCTTATGAAATAATGCACATAAAACACCTGGCGTGCAACGCTTGCTCATTAAATGCTGTTATTTTCATTGAGCTCCATTTGTTTTTAGCAGTGCTTGTAACTGTAGATGCAACGTGTGTGTACGCTTTTCCTCACTGTGTCAGACTGTAAAATGTCATGTGCGTTTATCACTGGGACATGAATGTATAGCATGACGAGCCTACAGAAAATGTATTTTTAAAGTCAAGGCCGGTGTGACAAAGTCAGCCCCACAGTGCCCCTGCTCCGTGGGAGCTCCTGGAGATGTGTGCCGCACCCTGGAGACAAGTGCCCACCTGACAGCCCCTCCCCCAGATGTCTCAGGGACGAAGCCAGCTCAGCAAGTCCCAGAAAGGAATCCTGAGCCTTCTCCATGGTGTTTCTGCCCTGGCCACCACGCCAGGTATTGCAGTGTATCCACCTCCCCATGTTATCCACACAAAAGCCACTGAACTCACATCCTCTGTAGCCCTTCTCCATCCCCACAGCCACTACACTCACCGGTACCACTGTGCCTGGTCGCACACATCCAGAAGAGCCACACAGAATTTGTTTTAGAACTTGGCTCCTATCAATCGCTCTTCTGCTTGAAACTCTTCACAGTTCAAAGCCTACACTCCACCTCCCGCCCCACAACCCTTTATCACCTAAGCAAGGGTTTTAGACTCTGATTCTGCTCCTCCTTTCAGTTCCTCAAATAAGCCTGCTCCTTTTGCCCCAGGGCCTTTGCACTAGCCATTCTTTCTTCTGAAAGCCCTTCCTCTTCTCAGGGGTCAGTTGACTTCTACTCCAGTTTCACTACAGCTGTCACCTCAGGGAAGCCTGCAGACCACCCACATCTCTCGGTCCTCCTCAGTCCCTTCTATTAGATACTTTCTTAAACCCCTGATAGTCATGAAATGTATATAAATTTTAATTGTGTACTCCTCTGTTCTATGATGAACCTACATATGTCTCCCTCGCTGTAAATTCTAAGAAGGTAGAGTTTTTGCCCATCCCATTCTGACTGGCACTATGTCACATGTATTTGATAAATATACCCTGCAGGGATCCCAAAAAGCCCATTTCTATATTTCTGAAGATCAGAGACAAAACAGAAGGCTTAGATTGTCCATAAGAGGTTGAAAAAACCCTGCAGCATTTTCAGAGGGCGATACCTCTTCTCTCACTCTCCAACAGCCGAAGCAGGGTGTGGTGGCACACACCTGTAGTCCTAGCACTCTGGGCCGAGGCAAAAGGATGGCAAGTTTGCATCCAGCCTGGGTAACTTAGCAATTTATTAAGATCCTGTCTCAAAATAAAAAAGAAATTTTGAAGGGCTGGGACGTAGCTCGGTGCAAAAGTCCTGGGTTGAATCTCCAGTACCAATAAACAAACAAACATGCAAACAAACAGCAAGTGGACTCTTATCCCTGTTGCCAGTCTAGAGAAGAACTGCACTCCTAAGGGATAGTAAACACACACCCTCCCTCCAGATAAACGAATCTCCAAAGCACAGAGGCAATGCCTAGCCCAACTCAGCGTTCCGATGAGCTAAGGGAAAGCCTTAGCGTTCCTGTCACACCTGGGCAGCGCTTCCCCCTTGCTCTAGTAGTGATCACTCAGGTATCGCGGCCAAAGCTCGGCACACACAGACGGGTCCCCCAACATGGGTAAGAGCGTGTAAGCCACACCACTGCTGGGGGCACACTGTCGGCCCTTCCCTTTCAGCCCCACCCGTCTGGAAAACCCCTCCTCCTCCCCTTCTGCTCTGACCTGAGCCAAACTAGCTGCTTGATGTAGTAACAAGGTTGAGCGACGAGTCGGGAGGCCCTGAGGGCACCATTATTCTGTGTGCCCTAGGAGAGGGGCCACCCCAGGGACCGTTGCCTGCAGATCCGAGCCTAGCTTGCTGCCAGGAAACCTTTCCCACTGAGGACACCCAGGCATGCAGCGCAGCTCTAAGTGCAGGGGTGGGGGAGGCACCGCACCCATCTGCCTCAGAGACAAAGATCACCAGAAACAAAGGACACACACACACACACACACACACACACACACACACACACACACACGGGGAGAGAGAGAGAGAGAGAAGGAGAGAGAGAGAAAGAGAGGGAGAGAGAGAGGGGCACGCACGCACACAAAGTAAAAGCAGATACCAACACTTGGTGCAATTTCAAACCAAACAACCGGCTTGGTGTATCTTTAAATAGATTGCGAGACAATCCAAAAGGGACAACGATGCTGTGATAACGACAGGAGCGATCTGGGTTCCGAACCCACGCTGCCCCCGCCCTCCTCCCGCCCGCGCTGCGGTTCCCAGGCGCATTTCCCAGCCTCGGGACACAAGGTGGCAGGAGCAATAGCGTCCCGCTCCTGGAATCGCTCGCTCGGGGACAGGAGACGGAGGCCGGGCGAGGGCTGCCCAAAGTAGGAAATACCAACCTTTAGGATCCCAGTTCACCTGCTTTCTTGGCGTCTCGATTGGAAATTTCATTGCTCCGTTGCCCAGAAGGGGAGGGAATGAAAAGAATCAAAATAATAATTAAGTCCTCGAGCTATACACGCCTCGATAGAGCAGTCCAACAAAACAATTTCCAAGGAGCAGGGGCCTCGGACTGGCTCGAAGAGGAACGCCACAGAAAGACAGGTGGGAAAATGTTGGTGTAGGGAAGCACTGGAGACCGCTAGGGTGTTGGCACCGCTTGACAGGGTGGTTGGCTGCAGCCGGGTGGGTCAAAGGAAAAGTAAGATGGGCGAGGGGCGGGGGAAAGGATGGAGAGGAAGCCAAGCTGCGTCCCAGAAGCGGTGCCGGCAGGCTAGGGGCTGAGCAGCCGGAAGGCCGAGGCTCGGAGAAGCCCACTGCAGTGTCACTCCAGCCCCCGAAGGCGTGTACGCACGCACTCCCGCACACACACCCGCACACACTCCCGGACGCGCGCTCGGGCGGGCACGTCAGCCTCGCTCAGCAGCGCGGAGCGCACACGCCCCACCCCAGCCGCGGCTGCTCGCCCCTGGGCGACGCCCCCCA